TATTCTTTGGAGTTTATTTTGGAATCCAGTCGTGGGCCGGATTGGGATGGTTCAACGGGCCGGTATCAGCCTGCGGGCCACCAGTTGAAGAGCAGTGATGTTTGTCTACGTCTCTGTGTCAGGGTTGGGTTTGTTATAGGTCAACTTGGAAATTTAATTCAGGACAAAACAAAATGTAATTCACCCTGTCGTGTCGGACACGCCCAGTGTTGATTCAGATCTCCAGTTTTCTCAGCCTTTTTGTTTCTTCGAGCATTTGGATCAACCAAGTGAAAGAACCAGAAGTTTATTTATAAAAACTGCAAGAGACCAGGCTTTAAAAAAAGAAAACATCCAGTTGGCCCAGTGGCCCCCTCGGCCCCTGACACTCTGTGGTTTCCAGGCCCTGGTGTGATGGTCTTGAAAGCTTCCAGGACCAGGCCAAACTTCAATAATTGCAGTACTAGTGCTGGTGCTATCGTTACAAATTAGCAGCTGTGGCTGGAGTTAGTAATTGTGTCTAAGGACTTAACCAGAGTGAGATGTAGGTCATTGGTTTCCACTGAATAACATGTAATGAAACTATGAGCAACAATTGCCCCGGGGGGGAGGGGCGGGGGGTGCAGACTCAGCAGGTTCCTCCTGTCTTGCGTCAGCATCGACTGCAGCGTGTTAAAGACGTGTACTGCAGTGCATGTTCACAGCATCGAACCACGTCAACGGGACACGGATAAAAACCCCGTCATTATCGACGACAAACGACGGTTGAACCCGACGTCTGACGGAGTCGAGTCCACTCCACCTTTGACCTGCTGCTCAACCACAGGGTCAACCTTGAATTTAATTGAAAAAAAAATATATATATATACATCTTTTACAGCATAGCGCCCCCTACTGCACTATAAGAGTGTTTTTTTTTTACTGTTAGCAAACAAAGCTAAAAAAAAAAAGCCTGAGACTTTCAAGATAACGACATATCAGCTCCAGCTTGTTGGGGTGAGTGTCGTCTCCTGTTCTCTGACACGGATCTTGACGCATCTTGACGAGGCTTTGGGAGGGGAGGTCCGGGGGAAGGGGGGGTTGTTTATCTACACGACCAGACGCCACCTGACCTCATTTTATAAACGTCAACAAACTGCATCTACATCTGAAATCACACAGGAGTCACGCTGACATCTGATTGGTTCTTACCTTAGGATCCTTCAGCAGACGGACATGTGTCCCACTGTGAATGGACAGGGACCTCTTTGTCACCATGCGGTGCCGGAAGTGGTAGTAATCACCAAATACCTACGAAGTAAGAGGAGGAAGAAGAAAGTGTTACAACAGGTACATTTGAAAATACACAGACGTACTTCCATGTCCACTGGCTGTGATCCTAATCTGTCGTACAGGCAGCACAGACACCTCTTACATAGCATAAGCAATCCCCTAGGGCGCCACCTGTTGCCAATTAATGATAGAGTGTTTTATTTCAATCAAATTGCACCCGTGTTCTCCCATCAACCCCAAAGGCACCAAACGGAACTGGAGCCAGGTCCGAGAGGAAGAACGGACGTGTGAATAAGAGTTTGGATTTTGTGAAAAAGTCCACGCAGCCGCGTGACTGCGGTGAATTGTGCAGCGCTCCTTCTCTGAGAGAGACGCATCAATCAGACCCACTGCTGCTCTGCTCCCTTTTAATCACAGCAAACAGGACATTCTAGCTGGGCAGGCACAAAAGGCAGCCACACACACAGCCTGTTAACAATGGGGGGGGGGGGCTATAAACGAGAGGAAGACACGTTTTATAGGCAAATTCAGCTCAGACCTGGAAACAGTGTGTGTGTGTGTGTGTGTGTGTGTGTGTGTGTGCACAGGGAATAAACTGCTAACATCCAAAAGTCACTGGTAGAGTCGGTCCGTCGTGTTCAACCAAGAAGGCCTTGAAGGTAGAACAGTGATTGTGATAAGAAGAAAACCTTAATTAAAACAGTCCATAATAATCAGCTCAGCTGAAACTGTTTTCTATTATGTTTTAATTAGATAAAACATCCAGGAGTTTTGAAAAATATCACAAATCGACTTCCTCCATGTTTCTGTCTGCTCTTCGTCTTCACTGGTGTTGCCATCAGAGAATTCTGGATCTGCTTCTGTGTCTGGTCCAAGGACTCTAACACACGTCCTATTTTATTTTCCAGTAGGAAAAGATATCAAACAGATTTTTTAAAATGATTATTTTATTTTAGACCCTCAGTCCAATAGGGGTCGCCACAGCTGCAGTCCAGTTAGTGAGGTCTCTCTGGATGATGTATTATTTTGAATCATTGACAGATTATCTTAGAATGAGGAAATTCAATGGATATGACTGGATTCTAAATTAGTAAAACTGAAGTGTATTTTTCAATGTGTCCCACTGCGGCCCAGTAACAACTAGCCTACGGACCAGTACCAGTCCACAGACCTGGGGTTGAGGATAAGTACTGGGTACTGCCTTTAACCTATAGTCGTGGCAGGAATACGTTCCATTAACTATTAGCTCGACTGTTAGCCTCAGGAAAAACCCCAGGGATCATGATGGACCTCCAGACAGCAGATGTTTAACAGTTAACACGGTAATTGAATTCATAGAAAATACAACTTTCCACCGCTAATGCTAACTGAGGCGGTCTGGGAAATAGGCTGATGCTACACATTCCCTACAATGGGAACGATTGTCATCAGGCACCATAAACTGCCCGGCTCTTCTAAACTTATGCAGGAACACAACACGGCCCTTAATCAATAGGATGAAGCCAACCACCACCACAGCAGCGCTGCTAACTGTGTGCCCTGCAGCTCAATTGTAATTTAGCAATCAGCAACAGCGCCAACGGTCCGTGTCTCCCGCTCGCTAATCTCTCAGACACGTAGCTTCTTTGATGTTTAATGTTTTTCCACCGGAAAAAAAGGGTCGTTTAAGACAAAGGCTGAAAATGGAAAAGTGATGTGAGGACAGATGAGGACCTGGAACTGACCGTTACTGCTGGGAACCGAGTGAATCAAGACTTAACAGTTCACTAAATAAAACCTATTTTTGAGGTTAGGCATTAATCCATCAACCTCATTAAAATGCGAGGTAACAGACGGTGGGAAAACGACGGTGGACTGGATCGTCTGCACGTCTGCCCCTAATCCGTTTGCCAAATACACGTTTGGTGGAAAGCTCTCACCAGACGGCGCTCAAATCCACCGACTGTTGACACAATTCTGTTCTACAAAGAGATGTGTTTGTGCAGCAAATGTGAAAGAATTATCTAGAAAAGACCTGGAGACCTGGAGGTGGATTAGAGTTTGGACAACGCAGCAGGTAAACTGTGAATCCACTCAGAGCCACGGTGACGTTTCTGCTGCGTTCAATGGTAAAACCTCAGGATGGAGGACATGTGAAAATCATTAGAGCACTGACGTTACTAATAAAACATGAAGGTGAGTAAAATAACAAAATAAAAATAACAAAGCTAATAATTTTCTCTATATCAATATAGAAAATAATTTGACTTTTATTTTATTTTCTCTATATCAATATAGAAAATAACTTAAATTTGACTGCATTTTATCACTATCAACTTTCTCATTACCGCAATGCGTCCAGATTTGTCTGTTAAGCTGTATATTATATATCCTCGAAAACATACTGGACGCTCTACTGTAATAGATGTTTTGAAGTGACTGAAAAATTACTGATTAATGTTTAACATTAATGAAAAAATACAGGAATAATGAAGCGTCCATGACTCAAGTGCTCATCCTCCGCAACAGTATTGATCATCATTACATACAGCTACACTAAGAAAAATGTTTTTATTATGAAAAGAAAATATTAAAGATTAGCAAAACATGCTAATGTTCCTCAGCCCCACAACACAATGCTCTCTTACCGCAACAAATTTAGGCCAAGATTTCATGAGAATGACCCATTTAGTTTGGACATCAGAGCGAGTGGAATAATTGGGAAAATGAGACCCCTGGTTATGGCCTGTTAAAATACAACTTCTTAATGTAATGAGGTAAGAGACCCCATTATTCTGCTCAGTGAATGAGAAGGAAAAACGCCAGCGCTGCAGCAACCCACACACCTGATGATGACACGTGTTTTTGTAGCCACAATATGTCAAGTACCTTTTTTTTTTATTTGTTCAACAGTGTTAATGTTGTCCTTATTTACAGAAAAGTTGAAAAATGTACCTAATAATGGACATATTATTAAATTATTAAAGACTATTCTAGAAGTAAACTACATTGTAAATAAAGTTTCTCTGCCTGCACTTTAGCGCCATGGTGACCTTTGACCCAATCATGTTTTGTCACACTTGTGTCATTTCAGGGAAATATGATGTTGACTGGTCCAGTCAGTGTTGCCAGACAAATATATTATTTTGCAATCCCTGGTCTTTTGTAACCACTTGTTAACACTGGAAGTCGCCGTTGAACACATGCTGCAACAAATTACAAAGAAAAATGAAAAAAAAAAGAAAGAAAGAAATCACAAAGTAGGTCAGTTATGTCATTTACTGTCAGTGGATCTGCGTGTAAACCGCAGTACCGACTGATCTCCTGCAGGCCGGGTTGGTTGATTGTCCTCAGATGACCCAACCATCACAGTGAGGTCTTTATGGGCCTCAGCCAGAGCAGGAGGGTAAAGTTACGTAAACACTGTAGAGTGCGTGCATTCAAACAAAAGGTTCAGTCAAATTGTGTTGCCCTCGAAAACTTTTCAATTGTATGTGAGTTCCATCAAACAATAATCAGTTGAGCATGAAGCAGGTTTTACTAGCTGTTAAATCAGCAACCAGTAATTATATTAACAGAGCTTGTTAGCCTAGCCAAAATGAGTGAATCCTAACGTACGGTGCGTTTGTCCTGTTCTCTCTGTAACACTGACTCAGTAAAGTTAGCATCCGAGTTTGTCTCCAACAGCTTTGACGACTTTCACCGTAACATCGACTGGAAACCTAGTAAAAAAGAATGACGCTTTTAACACGTTCTGCTCAGAACTGACGGAAAGTTTAAAGGAAATGGACTCCAGGCCGATGTTCACACGGCTGCGAAAGTTCACTGATTGGTCACTTCATGGGACGAGTGGAGCCAATGAACTTCTATGCTCAATATTAAAATGATTTGATTTGACTCACAAATCGGTTCCAAACCAAACGATGACCCAAGAGTCCTGCAGTACACAGATGGTATACACACTTCCTGTTTCTCTATTCAACAGACATACACCAACAAAGGAGGGAAAATGATCAAGGCTCCACAAGAAAGTCATGTGTAGGATCAGGGTTGTTTTTTGTTGCTTTTTTCTTTCTTCCTCCTTAAAAACGAAGAACGCCTCGAACCATCCAACACCTCGACATCTTCGCCCACACCAAAGAAAACATCCGTGCACCGTGTCGTTCTGACTCATTTGGTTGCCAAATCTCACACAACAATGCACAAACGTGTGGGCCTGCCTGACAACGTGGTTTGACAGAATCATATTTTCTGCTTTGGTGACGGCTTTTTGACTTCAAGTTTGACTGACAGGACACTTATTTGGTCGGATTCTCCGGGAAATTAGAAGAAAAAAAAACAAGTATGACAAAAACCAGCCCCACCTTCAGGCGGACAGCTGACAGTGCAGCCTGTATTATTGGCTGACTTTATTAACATAAATATTTAATGAAATGTTACGACACAAATAAAATCAATCACATTTTATTTTCTCTCTAAATGAGCTGAAATGTTCACATCTGAACCATCTGAACCAGGAGGTCGACCTGTCATCGTCCTGTGACCAGAGTTTGGACACAGTTCCACACACAGGGCCATCTCTCATGCAGAATCTTAACGAGCTCCTCCTCATTAGTGGAGGAATGTGACTGCATTTGTTGCTGGTTATGTACTTGTTGTGTTCATTGAGGAGGGGTGACACTAGAAAGGGGTGTGAAACCAGTTTGGACCCCATGAGGTAATATGGGGTCCAACATTGGGTCTAATACTCACTGGACTACACATAAAAGTCAAACGACGTTAAACGGGCTTAATGTCAGACGAACCAAAGAAATGGTTCCAAACGTAGGGGGTAGGCCGCCGTTAGGGACGGCCAATTTAACACAGGGAGGAGAGCACGGCGAGGCAAATGAATTCTTATTCCAGTATTTTCTCCATTCGTGCCACAGTGGGAGAAACTGCACCCATCTGGAACTTCATTTGCATTGATCGATGAGACGAGCAGTTTGGTCGGATTTTCAGCGTTTTTTAAAAATATTCATAGGAGTTTCAAAACGACA